ATACAAATATACCTGCATGTGCTTTACTTAATCCTCATACGCATCCGCGCGCAACGATATTAATATATGTTGCGACAGGTAGATTTCTACATGGATTTTATCTAGAAAATGGTATCGAACCCGTGCTTGAAAATGCAAAAGAAGGACAAGGGTTTGTGATTCCACAAGGAGCAGTTCATTTTTCACTAAATACGGGCTGTACTCCAGGCGTGTTGATATCAGCATTCAGCAACGAGGATCCTGGCAATTTGCCTGCCACAGCTTTTATGCAAAAGTTTCCAAGCAATATTGTTGGCGCATCATTGGGAATTAATTCCAAAAACGATGTTGAAGCACTAGTGAACTCTCTGCCCGCTATCATATCGAAGAGCTTCAAAAACTGTTTACATAAATGTGGTCTGAAAACATAATCAACAACCTCAATCGAAAGACAATTATTCTAAAAAACACAAAAGCATAACTGAAGACTAATTTTATAATCAGTATTTTTCATTCATTCATTGTAGTGATCTAACTATAATTCTGCATTTTGATATAATATATGCCCTTAGCTTCTAGTTTCGTTAAACATACTAATTCATTAATAAAATGTCTAAATTTTCAATAAATAGAAACGTCTTATGTACTCCAACATGCGAACTACACATTATCCTAAAACGCATCTAATGATCTACAGAACATAATCATTGATTCTGAGAATAGTACAGAAGGTGACCTGCATAAAGTTGACGTTTGCAAGTGCCTAAACTTTAAAGAAAATTTCAAAAACAAAGTGGAAAACTGTTGTTCAGTCAAAACTGGCCTAACATTTGATATCACATATATGAACAAACTCAAGAGTTATTATGAAATTAAAAACACATATTTGCCGGTGATCAAACAACCGAAAAAATTGGTATTAGAGCAAATGATAGAATGGTGCAGTTCATGTAACTTCAGGATAACTTTTTGTTTTGCCAAAATGGAGAAGGTTCTCTTCTCTTAAACTTTGAAGATTAATAGATCAAACGATACTTTAGATACCTCTATTGCAAAGGAGTCTTCTCTCATCCTACAGAAATTAAGTAATTTAAACGCAAGCGTTCTCCATTTTGCTCTCCTTCCTAGTAACACTACATGTTCCATAGACCTTCGTTTCATTATTGAAGTCATAATGAATCATCCGTCTGAGAAGAAAAAAGATCTACTCAATCTCTTAATGCTAGACAATAGAAAACCTCTTGCTTTTTCGGCACTTCATCCATCTCTTCAACTTTAGCCATCATTCGATAGAATGCAACAACTATCGCTCCAGCAACAGCAGAAAGCTAAAGAAAGCACAGGAGTAGTTACGGATATCATGAGTTTTCGAACGCGAACCGTTCGTCTCGAACACGAAGCTAGAGTTCTGGTTCGGTGTATGCCTAGTCTAGAGAGATACTGTAGGTAACATCTCCGAATATTACCGATAGTTTCGTTCTGAGAATTGGCAAAAACAGGCATTGCTGAAAATGGTATCATCAAAATGATCGATTGTTGAATTTCGGCGAAATACGTATCGATCGTTTATTTTTGAAATAATCATTTTTGATTCTAAAGATGTTTTTGTTTCTGTGTTAATCACAGATGGCGTAATTCATTTTTATTTGCTGTACTTTTTGGCATTCGAGCAATGATAATCATGATGGTATTTATGCTTAAATGGTAAAATCATCAAGAAAACAATAAGTGATACGTGGTTTATGGTTAGAAAATCTTATTATGTTTCTTTTATCAACACCAGTATAAGTAAATCTTTTCTTTATAAGTTCTTTATTTCAATTTTCCTTTATTCATAGGTGATTAATGGTCGTTACTTTTATATTCAAGCGTTCAAACCATTAAAATATCATTCAGCTCATATGAATGTTTTAATTGTTATGGCAGCAATAACAGTATATGCTTATTCATGTTTTGTGGTTTTATTTAATATAATAAAAGGTCTTCCAAATCTAGTTACATTTTTTGATGTATCACCAATCAAAGATGGACAGAACAATTAAAAAGTCGCACTGCTACCGCCACCGTCTCGCCCCGCTCCGTCTTATGTAAAAGGTTTTAAAGGTGAATTTTTCGAAAATTTTTCAAGGAGCGATGTTTAATACAAATCGTCGCAAATGTTCATATATTTGATTCTTTGGTTCGTTTTTCATTTGAGTAAAAAAGCTCTCATAATTATCGATTGATATGACAATGAAGTTGTTCGGTGGCTGCGAAGGTACATGAAATGACGTTACAACAAGATACGGATAGGAAGAGTTGGATTTTATCGTTTAGTTCGGCATGGAATCGATCACAAAATACCAAACGCTTTATTTTAAGTTTAGCTTAGCTTTTAGTTTGTTTCTAATTTTGTGCACTACTGTATAATGTTTCATGTCAGTCTACGTCCATTCATCAACATAAGATCTTTTTTAGATTTATAGCACCTAAGACTATTAAAAAAAAAGGATTCTGTATGAGAAAAAAAAATCAAAAAATTTGTATCATATTGCTCAGTTGAAGTGCGCCTCTAGTTGCAAGTAGATGGATTACGGCCACTTGCCTGCTAGACAGTTGCCCACCGGACAGATGCCTGCGAGACACTTGCCTGTGTGATACGTGCCCGTAATGGACAATGTTGAGGGTGAGGGTGCGCGCAAGCATCATACGAGCAAGTGTCTTGCGGGCATCTGTCCGGCGAGCATATGTTCTGCGGGCAAGTGGTCTAGATTCCAAGTAGATGTACTCTGTAGAAAGCGGGAGTTTACATATTCCAATGTGATGATGGTTGATCATGGCATTATACAAAAAACAATTACGATGATTCACACAAATAAAAGGATGACTTAATAGGCATCCTTCAAACCAGAATGCTCCGGTTCGAGTTTAGGGTTGGTCTTGGCTATAGTTATCTGTAGTTCCTCAATAAAACGAAATAGAAGTAAGGCCACAGAAAATATTTTAGAGTTGCTCATAGTAGATCTACATAGACCGGTATGGCTGAATGGTTAAAATGCTCGACACATACTCACAAGGTACTGTGTTCGAACCTCGGCTCCATCAGTCATAAAATGATCTTGGACAAGTCACTAACGGCTGCTTTGTCTCGGATCACCCATCCGATAACAAACTGACTACGTGGTTGATATACACTAAAGCCCTTGTGGCTAGTATGTGGTTAGTCAGTGTGTATGGGGAGCTTAAGTGATTAAGCGGGAGAACTCTGAGTCGGGCCGGCCTTCTGTCCAGAGCTACATTTAGTGATAGATGTAGGAAAAAATATCGGGCTCTCGAAACTGTTCTCGAACAGCACCCTACACCGCAAGGTAGCCGAAAGGCGGGGTATTCTTCTTCTTCTTCGCCTTCTTCAGATCTACATACAATTAAGAGAGAGTCCACCACAGGATCGAGAAACCCCATACTCCCAAAAAAATTTTTTTTTTTTACGGATTAAAAACTTTTTGTTTTAGGCTGGTTTTGTAGCTTTTTTATTTGCCCATCCGATGTACGATCCAAATTTCTGGGATCAACTAATCTTGAGAGATAATTTCTCAAAAATACTGATTTTTGCTTGATAACTACGTCGTATCAATTTTGACTTAATCAGTGTGTAGTCATCAGTGTGGTCTGCATAACTTTTTTGTTATATAATCAATCGAGCAAATATTTTGGGTAGAGTAGTTTCACCTCATGGGCTATCGATTCCACAAATAAAATGAGGTGGCCAAAATTTTCGGGAGTATGGACCCTTTAAAAATTCCTCGATGATCTCATGGACGCCCTCTTAAGTAGATAACTCAAAATTTCAATGATTAAAGACATCTTGAAAAAAATGTATAGAAATACTCGAACTCGAGTTCGACTGATTCTAAGAAGTTTCAATAACTACTTGCATAACTTAAGTAGCGCTTGATAAATCGTCTAAACAATCATCAATGTCTGGATGCGTTGGATAGTTTTCGAACCTGAATCCTAATCGGTTGATTCGAACTCTTGTTTGGATTTACTATGTGATTATTATTTTCTATCTTCGTACATATAACTTGTATAGAGTATCGTAAAAATTACGGTACACTTTTGATTTCTTTTTAATAGAATTTTGTTCATTTTTGAAAAATAACCTAATAATAGGAACTTTTAGGAATCACAGAAATACATTTTGACAACATGGATAGGGTATCTTATGATTTTGAGATGCTCCTGCATATTGCCTAAGCTTTGCTTCATATGTCTACACATAGTACCCTATTGTCGTGTATATGATCACATAAATTTACGATCGTAGTACCGAGCCATATCAACATCATAATACAATCAAATACTATGAAGCGGGTGTGGGTGTGGATGACTGTAGGAAAAGATAAGAACAACATCCATATCCACACCCACACCCTATAATGTATATACATATTGCAGCTTGTTATGTCGCATCAAAAATGTACGTGGTATAGCAATTCAACGATGCATGTGAGTAGGGCGTGAGTGTGAGTAACACATCTTTTCTTCACCTGCACATACGTCCTGCTCATACTGATCGTCCTAGCCTGAAACGAAAATTCTAACAAATGATTAAGATGGGAAAAAAAGGAAACAAAAGTGGCTCATTTCATGTGGGCACCCGTTATCTGCATAGAGAAACCAGTGTATGAAAAAGCTTGAACTTTCTCAGTGATATTTGAAAACCTGAAAAATAAATCATGATAGAAGAAAGAACTCAGTCGTAGCTGCCTGTGGCATTTATTAGAGTCCGACATTGTTTTCTTGTAATTTCAATGACACCTGAAGAGGATACATACAGAGAATCTTGTTTATGTGAAAAATTATGTAAAACAAAAGAAGTAATCTATAAGTCATGAATAAAATATTTCGAAATGTAAACCACGCATATTTACAGAAAAGTGTATTATTAAGTCAACGAGGTCAAAGTTAGAAGATAAGTTTATGAATTTTCTGATTATTGTTCTAAAGAATGGTCTTCGGATTTTTGCTTTGTTTTCGAATTATGTCGTCAACATTGCATTGTTGTTTGTAACACTACGTCTTCGTCGTTTCGAAGTACAATCGCAATCTTCTTCCTGGGCAGCAGCGAAGAAGCTAGCACCACTCGCATGTACGCGCCCATAAAACTTTCCTGCCCACCATTGACAAGCTCGAAGTCGATCAGGATCATCATTCCAATGTGTTGTACAGGAAGACATCATATCCGAAAGAAAATTATTATCGCATTCTGATCTGAGTTTGTTGCATGTTGAATAACATCTATCATGTGCATCACAAGCAGATGTGAATTCCCAAGCACTACCTAGTGGTTGAACAATGAAGTTCCAAGGTGAACCCTGCCCTCCACAGCCATTGCTCGAGGGTGCACTCGTTTGGCTGGATTGTCTACGATAAACTCCACAATAACAAACATTGTCCTCACAAATTAAGGTGGTCAAGCATTCGATTGTATAATACCAAGCAGTTCCAGTTTCACCAGCGCAATTTGGAGATACAATTACTTGCAATCGAGTATCCGTACCGTCTAATGATATAGTAGTCATTCCACTCGCACCAACGCATCCAGTTGAGAAAACTGGTTGATTCATGTAATAAACATCGATTTTATCTTTAACAGTATAGGTACCATAAGTAAATACCACTTTCGTATTTGATTTCCCAATATTGAATGTTCTGTCATCAGGTGTATCGCCTCCAGACACACTTTGTTCGTTGCATTCTCCTTGTGTACCACTGCTTTGAATGGAAAATTCATTCAGTGTGTTTGGATCTATACTAATGTCGCCAACAGTCGTTTGAATCTGTCTTTTCAATCTAATCGAATTGTTGGTATTCAAAGGTACTATTGATGATTCTTCTCCGGGAACGTAAGCAATGATTTCGAAATTACTAAGGTGACCAACTGAGCGAGCTTGCAATGGAACATCGGAAATATAAATGGATACTGTACGTAGAGTATCTGGAATCTTAACAGTCATTTCTTGAGCTATCAGCAAGCAAAAAGACTTAATCGAATCTGGGACTTTGGAACACATGTCGGAGATTGGATAGGCTTGCATCAATTGTATGCATGCATCGCTCTGTTGAGTAATCGTCATAAGTAGCTTCTGTGTATCAAAATAGTAGTCGATTGATGTGTCATTGGTAGGTAACGGTACATAATATCGTCCACCACCAAGATTCAACATTACAGAGCTTTTATTGCCACGATTTGCATCAAAATAATTCATTTGTAAAGTGGCATCCTTAATTAATCGACCACTAATCTTATTAGTCAATTTAATGATTACTCCGGTAAAGAAATCTGGTACAATTCCATCTGGTGGTAATTCAAATACAGGGGTCGGAAATGTGACATTAGGTATGTCGTAAGTTGCTGGTATTTGATATGAATTATTCTTTGATACAACCAACACTTCATAATGATTGTTGGTGTTGTCATAGTTGAAAAGAAAAGTTTCGTGTAGAGATTGGATTCGAGCAATTCGACTATTGTCAATCGTGTAAATAGCATTATCTGTTTGAATGGCATACACAGATTGAACATTTCCAGAGTAGTCTTTTATACCGAAGACACTAACATCGTTCAATTTCAAAATTTGACTGTCTTTCACATCGGGAATAATTTGACTTGTTGATAAGTCTTGAATCTATACAAAATCATCATATAAATCATATTGAAAATTGTGAAAGAAATTAAAAGAATCTTCCGTCTACTGCTTCATCGATCATATTTCGTTAGTTTATCAATACTTGTCTAGAAAAGAACTTAGGTTATTCATTTACATCTAATCTAGTTTTTTGTAATTTGTCAATAAGGTTTTTGAGCGAATACTATAGATCATCTAGTCAAAAGCAAGATTCAAAATATTTTGTATTGGCTCACCGTTGTAGAAAGACTCGTAGTGGTCGTTGTCACGGTAATCGTTGAAGAGTTTCCGATAAACAAGTCACAAACTGTGAAGCAAATACAGTCATTAGAATTAACCGAGCAATGAACTGAAGTTAAGAAACAGACTTACATGTTGTTTCGTTGAATTTGATTTTTTTGAAAATGTTGTTGAGAGCGTTCGAGGTGAGATGCTCTGCTAAAGGTTCACGATTTAATAATTCAAAAGAAATCTTCAGTTGATCAAAATCTGTAGAATTCTCTTGTACTTGATAGATAATCATAGGCTTTCCTTTCGGAACACGAGATGTGCAAAATATCTACAAAATTATGTATTTCTTTTAACTGGAAATTCGTATGAAAGCGAAATACAAACCTTTATTTTATCGGCCTTTCGACGCTGGCGACTACTTCCCGTCGACTCGATACTTGCACCTTTGACATTGATGCGAAAATTTTGTAATGTCGGATCCGTATTCAACATATTTTGAAGCTATGTAGAAGCAATTTAATAGGATCTAGTCGATATTTATGAGAATAATTTGCTTACCATGAGTTGAAGAAGCTCGATTTGAGCGCTACTCAAACTTCCGTGATGTAGTACAAAAATATCCCCGCTACTATCAGTAGTGGAACTTTCTGGTAGATCGTACTTAAGCTCAAGTAATGAAGGTCGAGAATCTAAATAATATGACCAAGCGAATCAGCCTGTCTATACAATTGTTCGAACTTACAGTCAGCTGACGAAGTTGCTCTTGTGATGTAGAGAGGAATGAGTGCCAGTACAACGGCCATTGAGATCAAAAAAAGCAGAAGACTGATGCATGTCATAGGAGGCAAACAAGAAAACCATTTCGACCTGCAATATATCAGAAACAATATAAATTCAGTAAATGCGATGTATATTACCAGAAAGACGGAGGATCAGAAATGTTTGTCAAACAATTATTGTCTTTCGTTTGTGACATTCTGTATTTCCTACAATTGGATGCAATTCGTTTACTTGTTGGAAAGATCTAAACGGAAATAGATTTAAATAAGTGCTCACCGGAAAAAACTACACCAAAGACAAATTAAGATCACAAATTGATCTTACTTTTGAATAGGGAAATATAAAAGAACAATTACTTACTGTAAATGCTGAATAAAACTGAGCAATGACGCTTGATTGAATTAGAATATACTATATGAAAATGTATGATAAATCTACATCCTTTTATAGTTGATTGTGTACATCTATTATTGCATGGTAATTACCTAAGTTATTGGTTTTTTCCGTTTCTTAGTCATTATGAAAAAAAGACATGATATATCACGTCTTTACTCATTCAGTCGGAACAGATTCTCTTTTATCTGTAACTAATACTCATTTCAAAAAAGAAAAAGTGTGCGTATTTTTTGAATAACTTTTGATAGAAGCTAGGTAGAGAAATGTGGTTTTCACCGTTTAAAAGAGGAGATGAAGCTGCATCGAATAGTCTATATCAGATTTTTCTGAAAAGTTTTCTCAGTCTCTCACCAATTTTTTCAAAAAATCCAGGCTTTTGCATAAGTTTATCAGGTTGATTTTTTCGTTGAGAAATGAGAAAAAAGGTAAATTTCCTATGAAAAATCTGCCGATAACATGCAGCAAAATGTGCATAACTCATGATTGGCTAAAACTTATAACATAGAACTTACAGATTTTATAGATCTTCACTTAACGATACTAGTGCACTCCTAAAAATTGAGATTGTAAAACTTTTACGTTAGACAATCTTTTGTGTTTAACAAACTTGATGGTAGACTCTGAGAAAACTTGTTCAAAAAAACTGGTATAGATAATTCGATGCAGTTTCATCTCCTCTTTTAAACGATGAAAACCGCACCTCTCTACTTAGTTTCTATCAAAAGTTATTCAAAAAATACACACACTTTTTCTTTTTTGAAATTGGTATTAATCACACTTGAATAGTGCAAAAAAAGTGATAAATATAGATTAGCCTTGACTCAGATTGACATTTTTCTTAACGCTCACGTTCAAGTAGACAGTAGCTGATGGACGTACCTTTTGATTGTGAGTTTGAGTATGAATGAAATCAATCTTTGTATCCAACTGATACTGATGCACTGCTTGTAGGTTCCTACTGATTCGCGTTGTATTCAAACCGCACGCTATTTACTTGGATTTACGATATTCGTTTTGTTCTTTTTTAAACAAGAATTTTCAAGATTTACTTACTTGATATTCTCGAGTTCTATCGAGGATGATCTAGATGCAGGTGAAAATCATAAGACTTAAACAAATCAATTGTCATATCAGGGACACTATTAACCATGGAACCATGATCCAACGTAAACGTCTTAAGAAACAAAATCGAATGAGAAAATGATAATGAACAATGACATTGTTAATATATATGTATGCATGAAGATGGTGACGACGATGATCGCTAATAAATATTTATGAATATGAATCAATAATTAAGAAAATCTCAATAATTTTATCAAGTGATTTTACATGACAAAACTTTTTCTTCGCCTTCTTTTTCGATAAGAGGAAGTGATAATATACTGATAAAATGTGGATTCGAATGACAAGCATGTGCGCATGCGTAAAAAGCTAAAATTTCATACTGTGACGGTGAGTCACGGATAAAACCCGAATGATAGAATGCACTCTACGATCGATCGATCGAATAAAACTATATCGCAATCTTGTCATTGTATTTTTCATCAACTTTACCTAATCAACTATGTTATTTCAGATCAAGAATTACGACATACGTCAATAGTCTTCGTGTGAAATTATGTCTAAAATACTTCGACCTTGAAACAAGGTTCATAAAAGCCTTTGAAAAATGAAAAAAATCACATTGTATGTATTGGTGCAATACTATAAATATTCAACATAAATAATGTTCACTTTTTCGAATAATAAATTGAATATATAAATAAGAACAATTGCATTCAATTATATTCACCTCTTCACTTTCAATTTGACAATCATAATTATTTTTTTATCCTCTACAGATGAATGATTGTAATAGATGATAAAAAGAACAAAAGAGAATAAAAGAAATATGACATTCGATATATTACAAAGAATTACCTAGTTTTATAAAGTTTACTTGATCACCTATTGAAAAACAAACTTTTGTAGAAAATTGAATTGAACCTCAGCATCTTTATAAGCGATATTCCTTTGTTTCATTAGATCTATTGAATAACAGTTCCTGTATAATGAACATTCATAATTGACTATTTTCATTTCATTGTTCTTGTGAATACCCACAGAAATGAATAACAATACAATGAAAATAATAGAAATAACAATTAAGTTTAAATCTTCTTGAGTATTCTTCATTTTTACGAACAGTTCTGTCATGTTTATTGCATTCAAGCAAAGAATTGTTTTTGTTCATACAATAAAAAGAAAATCAACATGTTAAAAACTAATCAAGTCTTCTTCTACTATTTAGATTATACATGCAAGAAATATATTCAAACAGCAATCAGTCTTTTTGTTTTTCATTTCATCGTCATGCTGTTATACATAAACAAGAAATGAATTTTCTGTCTGAGATAAAGATTGATACGAAAAAAATGACTGATGTTCATATCTGAACATGAGCATCTTGCTTGATGAAGTTAACATGGTGGGTGTGGGTGGGTATGCGTGCGGGTGTAGGTATTCCAGTGCTCCACACACCCACACCCGCCCTCGAACTACTTCATTAGAGGCAGTTTCATTTGAATGAAATTTTCCCATTGATAACCGTCAAAATAATGAAGAATCTTCAAATATATGCAATGAAACAGTTGAAGGTGTGTTAGTCTACGGAAAAGTAAAAAAAAAATTAAGATTGTCCATTGTTAACCACTTAGTTTGGCTCATCAAGAATGAAGTTACATCAGTTGAGTGTAGGGGGTCTGGATGTGTAAAAGTAGGCTCGTCGAATCAATCTGCAGAAAAAAAGTCTAAAACCAATGTTTGTAGATGAGATAAATAACCTATAATAGAGTAAATTGTATCCCAAATGCATTTCATACGAATTTTTAAGTGTCGCAATCCACACGAAACAGACCATTGTATTTGATTAAAAACATCATTGTGCCCTGCGAATTCGAGTCTATGGCGATCATTGTATGAAAGTGCAGATAATATGAATGCTTTTACGTTGTCATTGACAAAGGAATAACACATTATTGAGAGTTCTGTGAGAGGATACTTCACGATATGTTTTGGAAATTCATCTAAATCTTCGTCATTTATGTCAATGAGAGTGAATGAACGTAGTCGAATTAATTGACCGATAGGAAACTGAGAAAGAAATGTTCGAATTAGAGCGAATTTCATGTTGTCATCTCACAGTGTAACTGAAATAAGGGCGTGGGTGTGGGTGTGGATGTGAGTGGATGTCGCCGAGGACAAGAGCGATACCCACACCCAACACCCCCACCTGGAGCCACTCATCCCACCCACACTCACACCCACACCCACTCGCCCCATCCACACCCACACCCACACCCACTCGCCCCATCCACACCCACACCCTCCGCCACTACTTTTCGATAACCCTAAGTATATATATATATGTATCTGGTCATATCTTACCTAATTAAATGTTTGTTCATGGCATTTTCAACGTTATATTGCTGTTCATACGTAAGTGCTCAGAAATAATATTTTCTAAGAGATATCATAGCACAACAAATATGAGAAAAAAGTTTTCCAGTTACTGTTAGGCATGACCGCACTGCTTCGTGCTCGTCAAATAGAGAGTGTACGGCCTAGCGTCCTGTAGCCGGATCGAATACCCGGCAGCCTACTCGGTGATTAATTACATTTGATTTTAAAAAAATATTTTATTTTCTAAGACTGTCATTTACCACAGGGATGCAGAGTTTTAAACCGATTCGACCAAAATTTAATAATTTTTTATACATTTATATGGAGGGAGGAGGGGGATTGGTGCAATGGCAATTTCTTTGACTCTCAAGAATTGACATTATGTTCGAGACTTGTTTATCTCAGCACCATGTTTGTACAATTCCGTCCTCATTTTGCACCTCTCAACCTACTCTTTCATCGATGATCTATGCATTTTGCTCGTGTACATTGTGGTTTGACTGGCCAAATCGTCCCTCATGACTCATGTTATACTTGCTCATAGTTTTATATGCTTTATGCTTGTTCTTTGCTTTAAGGTCCCTTCCTTAAAAATCAAGCTTAGCTTAGGAACATCCGAATTGTAGGCAATTTTCAGGATGCTCGGGCTAGTATGAAAAGGCCATGGAGCCCTATATCATGACGTTCGACAGAGATATTCACCAAACAAGGGTGAAACGTAGCTCGATTATATCTTCGAGAATTCTCAGCGAATCTTCATTCTATATATTTGAATTTCCTTTTATTTGAAGACTTGCGTTTAGTGCTAGCCTCTTGCGTGGCTCATTCTCTTAGTTCTTATTTTTTAAAGCGAAGAAATAGGATGACAAGTTCAATGACTCAAACAGCTTCTAAAAATGGCGCCGTGTCTACACAAGTGTTTTCTTATATCATAATAAAAAAAACCTTATTTTAAAACGGGCCATGAGAGGAGCTAGCCCTCTATATGAGCATTTAAACAAAAAAAATTATTGGCTACAATGAAGCTCCTTCGAGAATTCTTGTACATACCATCGAAAACCTATAAAACCAGAAAAAAACCAAAAAAAGATTTTTGGTTTTTTTTCCAAAAACCGCTCACTTTTCGAATACAGAATGACGGAAACTTTCAAAACTCTCTGGTAATAACAAAGTGCCGAGTATACATTCTGTCGTTTAGGAGAGACTAGATCACGGACTATCTTTTTTTCGATTTATCTTAATTTCGGCTGTTTTGACGAAACTTGACCTTTTTGACGTGGAGGAAAAATACCGTACCCCTGTAGAACACTAGCGTAGCTCTCCGGATCCACTGGCCGCAAACATTTTGGGGCGATGTCTACCTCCGCTACTACTCTTCAATTGCCGCCCCCACCTCGGTATTTAGGCATGATTCACATCTCTGCAACACATATTATGTTAACAGGTTTATTTTCTGAAGTCCTAATTCTTTTACTCATGTCTGAATTTTAAGAAACCTATGCCATATTATATAATGTCGCCGAATAACTCGTCTTATAAATGTCCCTTGAAACATATTTTCCTACGAAAGAACTTTTTGTCAATCACATCTTATCATACTTGATGATTTCCACGCATACATACATTTGATTTCTTTTCAACCAAATACAAAAACTTTTCGTTTCAGATTTTAATATGCTTGTTCTTTACAAATAAATTTTATTTAAACAAACACTAATATAAAACAGAATATTTCCGTATGAGGAAAATAGTTTTCGACATGTTTACAAAGTCGAATAAGATCCATACATAAAGACTTCAGTGTTTGACAATTAATTCGTGTTGCATCTCTTGCAAAATTGTGTGTCACTCATTTCAATGGTTGATAAGCGAGGTTAAGATGCACATTATTCGATAAACAAGTCTTCATCTCAAGTAGAAATTGTTTGAACATAATCATCATGAGACATATTAAGTGAAAGATTAGTAAGATAAGGATATTTAATGATTGATATATCTTCATTGTCGTTTTTTGACTCTTTGTATAATTTGTTATTTTGTAGTTTAGCATTGCGTCAAGTCAATTTTTGCATAAAGAGAAATGATTGAGAAATTCGAAGAAAAAATTCATGTTCAAAAGGATATTCATCAGATAATGATATTTCACGAACACATTTGAATAATCCACCTGGAAAATTATTTGTTATATACTTATAAAATTTTGATTTCTATGGATATGAATAAATAAGACATTGACTACTTTGTTTTTCCTCGAAATAATCGACGCAAGAAATGATATGGTTATTTTTAAAATCACAAAATGTATTTTGTATATCTGCATTACATGGTAAATTAATTTCGTTATGAAGATAAAGAACTGAGCGAATATTAAATGTAAATTTGTCTAATCGTAACATATGATTAATAATATTTTTTTTCAAATCATTTCCATCAACAAATGCCTTTTTCACAGAAAGAGAAAGATTTATAACAAGTTTTTCTAAATTAGACATCCGACATAGCAGTGGTATAATTAATTCATCATAAGCACCTGTAAGAGTATAAGAGTGTAGCACAAAACATTTTAAATTAGGTAGTTTTTCCTAAAACAATTATTGTGAAGTTGTTCGAATACGTAAAATATTAATGAAAATAATTTACCTTGTTATTAAGTTCTCGACCGAAAATGGAAATGCGATGAATATTAACATGAAATGTACATAGTTGATTGAAACGTCCATCAAGTATATAAAGACCGTCGATGAAATTTCCAAAAGTGACATGCAATTCTAAGAGATTTGAGGAGATAAAAGTTGGAGATGAATTCGGAAATATTAAATATTGATTGTCACTTGAAGTTGGACCGAAATTTAAATATTGTAAATTGGTGTATGTTATAAAAATATGTGTAAATACAAATATATTGACATTTTTTATTGATAGTTGCTCCTTATTGTTATTTATATCGATAATAAATGATGTTATTTGATTTTTATATATATGAATTAATGAAGATGCATCTAAATTCAATGAGAAAAATATTTCTCAACAATTATTTTGATAATTAAAGCGATATATAATTTTTTTTCGCAATTTTATAATGTACATGGGTGATCTTTGCAATTATTCAATAGTGTATACTATGTAGAGTCTATCTTAGTTCGAGTCTCTAAGCTCCCTGTTTGATGGATCCCAACCGGAGTTTCGATGGTATTACTTTAAAAATTCAAATAAACTATGACTACGTACTTCTTTGAACATCATCAAGATACTCTAAGAAATGTGTTGCGCAACCTGGATGCTGAATTTAGATTAACGAAAAATGTAGCGTACCTGCAGAGCGCATATCGAGACGAATTAGAATAATTGTACATAGAATATGAGTACCGATCAGGTTGTGTGCAAAAAATCTACTCAACCGGATCTGATTTGAAAAATAGTTCAATAGATATGGTACTGTTTAAAAATTCTTGAAGTCGACAGGCTCTAATGCCATATCATAGATGTTATATTTTATTCTCGTTTCTTCTTTTTTCAGGATCAATGCTAAAATTTTCAATATAAGCGATTCTTTTTTCACTATTAATTTTATTCTAACTCTTTTGTATTAAGAAATAATAGTAAATTCGAAAATTATTTTTTAAAACATGTGCATTGATCTAAATATATTTGTATGATATATATATTCCAAATAAATCAGTTTCGTTTTCATCTATATATTTGTTTTTATTAATGAATGAAAGAATTGAAATGTCTTATCGACAAAGAGAGATTGAGCTGTGCCTAAGTCTATGTCAAATAAACCGAGTCCATATAAATTCGAATAATTTGTAGCACGAAGTATACGTTCCATTGATGATGATTCAAGATCAAGCCATTTGATTTGACAATGAATTTCAAGTAAAATTTGTGAGCAAAATCGATCAAGCATTCAATCAGGTAAAGGACACATGGAATCATCGGACAAATGTCTCATCAAGGTTAAATGACTGGTAAAAATTGGATCACGTACAATTGTGTTGAGTCGTTTATTAAGACCTATTAAAGAGTACAGTATTGAAATATTCATTAATTTTGTAAAAATTATCAATAGAATTTCATCAGGTAAATCATTTAATGCAATCAATAAAAGTTCCATTGTTAGCATCACCTCTCTATTTTTTTTTAATTTATAACTATGAATATTTGTATAGCTATGAACATTTTATCTATTTGACCGATGTCGTCAGTGAGAACAATGAAGTGTTTTTCGAGGATCTCAATTGATGACCACTGGATACATGAAAAAATGGTATTGTTTGTTTCTTTTTCTTCTATTTGTGGATGAACATTTAACAAAATCTTTTTTCTTTACATTGTAATACAGAAAATAATATGTTGAATTCGTTGTTTGTCTTTGTTAGAATTCATACTTTAATAGTTCAGGATCAATATGTTTATATATTTACCCAATATTTGTAGAAATAATATTGGACAACTGGTCATTTCAGTTCTGTATTTTCTTATTTCGGCATAATATAAGTGCATTTATTCGTTCTAAGCCCTAATGTTATTGATTAATTGTTTGACAATTTTTGCATAAATAATATCGATTGTTTTCGAATGAAAACGTTTATTAAAAAGCTAGAGAAATTAAAAGAGTATTAATTGTTCTATGTTTTACTCTCAGTTTTACGACAATTTAAAAATATATAAGATTTTATACTTTTATATAGTTTCGTTTCGTTTTGTCGACAAATTATAGTTTAATTAATAAATCACACAACGAATATTCGTTTGTTTTAAAAATTGAAAGGGCACCATAGAAGTGACTCCGATGGAGTCGAAATCGAAAATGATATGAATTATAGCAACTCCGAAAATCTTTCTTCCGTTTTATTTTGTGGAAGATAACTTGATGGAAATTATCCGAATTACTATTTGTATTTTATAGATTTTTTTATGGGATTTATGGAAAACAATCATCTTATTTTCTAATTAAATTTAGAGTTTATTCTCGGGATAAAATCTGCATTGTCATTCCAAGTATTTTAGATAAATAAAAATATGCGAAAGTTTTATTATATTTTAGCTTTTCTGTTTAATATCTAACACAAAAATATTTGTTCGCTCACAATAGTCATGTCCGATACCATTTGTCATAGCACACTAATCTTTAACTAATTACATAATACTGCCGAACATGGAAGATTTCGATAATTCAGAAGAAAATTTTTCTGAGTCGAAGTTAGAACTGAAGTTGAAAAGTATAATTCAGTATGTTTCTGATTATGATTGTGAAATTATCATCGATTTCATGGGTCAATATTCTCTTACATTTCCTCGGTTATATTCTCTTCTATGTTTCTTCGCATAATATCTTCTTTTCATTGGGTATGGGCATGTTTACTGTTAATCTAGTTGTACATCCACATCCCATAAAATTCATGAAATAAAATGAATACTATTTCTTTTCTTTATTCACTTCATTTTTTTCGAATTTATCTAAGTATCGTTTCTCAATTATATATACTATTTCTTAATAACGATAATTTCGTTCATTTGAAACATCGAATTAATTATTAATGACTTAAATGGTAAAATATTTTATTAGAAGACATTTTCATGTTTTGATTCCTTCATTAAATAAAATAATTGCATGATAGGAAGATTTTTACAATTCTTTGTTTCTATCAAATAAATCTGTGAATAACAAAACTTCTATTATTGGTTTAAATCTTTGCTGATGAAATAATTTCGATGGTAACAAAAATAAATATAGTTTTAAAGTATCGACAGAATCGTTCGAGTTATGCTCTGAACAATTCTGTAATTTCTTACCATAATGTAGACCTAATAATATTGAACGTATTAGAATCTCTTTTTTCCTTTACGACGATATCATACAATGATTCTTAAAGCATAAGAAGATTATAAAAATTATAATCAGTAAAAGTTTTCAGATAGTAAATATCCAAAGCTTGTAATCAATGTGTTTTTCTTTTTTCGCAAATAATTTTATTTACTAATTAACATAGATACAATTACAATGCATAAAAACAAAACGAATCAAACTTTCTTTTTGAAATCTGACAAGATTTCAGGATAGCTATTAAAGCATCTTATACACAACAACGTAATTTATTGAAAAAAACAAAAATCAAAATTTAGATGACAATGTTAATTTTTTTTTATCTAATTCAATCCAAGAACGAATACATAATATAATCTAACAATAAAAAGTTAACTCTTTTATATACATCTGATTTTTTCGAATACATTAATTTGATGTATTTTCTTTCAATTGGGATTTTTTTATGCAATGCAATGCTATGCGAGATTAATCATGAGAAAAATTAAAACATGAACATTTGCAGGATTATAAATAGAAAAAAAAGAAACCATGACTAGTCGGAGTTTGTTGTTTCTCTTTGATCAATTTTAATGGTAAATTCAATAATTGAATCTGTTTGATTAGTTGGTTGAACTACACCATTCATCATTGAACATGTTTCATCTTGACATACCATTAATTCATATTTAAGATGAGCTACTTGTTTATCACGTGGAACATAATCTAAAAGTATTTGATCAGATGTATGACTTGTTATTTCACCATCACATATTTTAAAACCATCTATCAAAATTTATAATATATTAGATTTTATAATAAAAATTTAATTTTTTTTTTATTATTTTACCTTCATCTTCAATAATCCATGTACCAGCATTACCATCACGTAATTGAAGTGGATCAGCTAGAGCAATAGTTAAATAAGCTTGTTTCGAACCGAATGAACGTTCTTCATTCAATGTTTCCCTTAAATCAAATCGATGCTAGAAATATAAAACAAAACAAAAATAAATTATATAAATTCATGAATTTATATCAAATTATGAAATCGAAAATATAAGTTTTTATATCGGAACATTTAAAAAAAAAAGAAGAGGATTTGATAACATAAAATTTAAAATATATTTACTCGAACAATTGTTCCTTGATCAAGATCAATTCGTTTAATATGTGAATTATTTTTATCAGCAATATACATAAAATGTTCAAATATAGCTATACCATATGGTTCATTAAATTTAGCTGAATTTGTTTCACCACGTTGTTTTTTTCTATCTGTATCTGTTACAAAATAACTTGCACAAATTAAAGTTTTCATATCGACATATTTCAATTTATTATTATATGTATCTGTTATATATAATTTTGATGATGGATAATGAAATGAAATACCAACTGGATGTTGTAATTTTGCATTATAACCACTACCATCAAGATCACCAAATGCTGAAAGATTCTATTTCAAAAAAAAGAATTCAATTCTTAAAATATAATTTTTTTTTCTGTTTCTCATACTGTTGGATCAGCATCACCACCAACTAAATTAGCAACATGTCCATTGTGAAGTGTAACAACACGTATAGTTGAACTATCACTATCAGCAATAAATAATACTGGTTCTTTATTCATTATACCATTACAAATACCATGTGGAGCTGCTAAACCAGCACTCATAGGTTCAGTACTATTTCGATTTTCTTCAGTACCACTTCCAATTATTGCTGAACATGAATTTTTTTGTAATATACTATATGAAAACAAAAACAAATACGATTAAATAAAAGATTATTTTATATTTCACATACACATCATTCCACCATTGAGTTTCTTCAAAAGCATATGCCCATATTTGATTTTGACCAGCCATTGAAATAAGTAATACTAATTTATGATCGACTAGTAAAAAAAAAATAATGTTATTTGAAATATCGTGATAATAAACGGTTCCTCGTTCTGTCTTTCATGAAGAAAAACACTTAGAACGACTTCCTAGTGATATTTTTATATACATTTTGAAAACAACATATAAGATTTCATGTATGAAACAATCGTTATCGCACTGTCAGATATAGGATTTAATCTTGAATATTATGACATGTTTGAAATTTCAGCAAAAACACATTTAATAAAAATTTGCATGGCTTTAACGAATTTTTTTTTCTTCTGACTATCACAGATCGATGATTACGTATTAATATTTTAAATTTTGTTCTATAATCTACGATACTTGTTATATTATAATCTGTCATTTTTTGTGTAAAAAAATAAATCTTACATGGTGATTCTGTAAGACATAAATCCCATGGTGAAGCAATAGGTTGTTGACTTCGTTTAAGACCACCAATTTTATCTGTTCCTAATCGACCAGTACCAATCAATGTAATTACTCGACGTGAATTAGGTTCAAACTAAACATAATTTTAATCACAAGAAAAAAAACAAAAAAAATGTTTTTTTCTTTTTGTCACATTATTTTCATACCACACGAATTGCATGATTATTTGTATCAGCAATATAAATACAATTATTATATTCTACAAGACCATGTGGTGAATCAAATTCACATTGTGGTATATCACCATCAGCCATACCAGCATGACCAGTACCAACAATATCCTATTTTGAAAAAATTTTGATTAATATATTTAAAAAAAAAAAATCTTTAGAAATAAATTTACAAGAACTTTTCCATCAACTTCACAATAAATTAATTGATTTGAACCCGTAAATGAAATACATAAATGTCCACTAGAAGTTATACATATATGACTTGGATATGTAAATTTCATTGTTTTTGAAGCTATTTTTAATTATAAAAATTTAATTTTTACAAAGATTAAAAACAAACAAAAAAAAATTTATCTTTACGTGTACTAGTATCAGGTAAATCTTCTGGTGAAGTTTTAATTGATAATGTATTATTTGATGATGCACGTACACTTGATTTATAAAAAGAAAGTACAGGTACAAGAAATAATTCTAAATGTTGTACATGATTTTCTCCTTCAAATACAAATATTGGTAATGAATCAGGTCCAAAAATAAATGCTGTTGGTAATACTTGACCATTGATTTGTTTCCATACTTGTAAATTATTATCATTAACAACTGCAAATGGAATTGATTGTTCTTCAATAGCATGTCGAACATTTGTTTTATTTTTTTCATGTTCATATTTTGGAGAATGAACCCCAATAATAGAAACCTTGAAACAGTAAAGAAAAATAAAAATAAAAACAATGAAATCTTTCTTTTATGATTTATATTTAATTTTCTTCATTATACTAATAGAAAATATGCTAAATGAAAAGTCTCTAGTGATCTGTTGTATGAATACAATTTGTTTTCATTTGCTCATTGTATTTCTTAATTTAATAATAATATTATTATTCTAACAATTGATTTAACTGACAAAAAAAAATCTTATTAATACATATTCATTATATCTAAATGACAAATCAATATATCACTATTGACGTATTGAATACAAAATTTTCATCTATGCACAAAATAAAAAACTGCGCTATTTACAAAATTGACTAATGTATTTCAATCATTCAAATTTCAAGAAAGAACTTGAAATATTTTAAAACAATCAAAGTCTTATTGTTAATGCCATTCAGTGCATCTTTGCCATATTGCTAAATAACTCTGAAAAATAGTCTAGCACTTACTACCCTCGGTTGCTATGGAAACGTACTCAATGACCTTTGTCAGTTTTATAAAACAATTTTATTTCGATTCTCGTGAAATATTTTCCTTTTGCTCAAAAGTATTAATGAAATGAGTCAAAACTGTTTTAATAGTATTCTATATAAATCTATATGATATATGAAATTATATATTATTCAATTCTATTTGAAATAACTTACACCGGCAGTAGAATATCGTTTATCAATACCAATAATTCTTTGCATCGTATGTGAAGAATGAACATTAGAAAATGCCCAAAAATAAACTACGATAATTTTTTCATGAAATAAATCTCTTAATTGAACTCCTGAATGTGATTGTACAATTTGTAAAGCTAAATAATAATTTAATAAATTTATATTTTATTTATTCTTTCTTTTTTTGTTTTTTTTTCTTACAAAGAATTTTCTCATAAATTTCTCTTGTATATTGTCTTAAATTATCACCATCTGTACGTTCATGAATTTTATTCAGATAAGCATCACTTAATTCATCGAATTTTGTTGAATCTTGTGAAATACCCGATAAAAGATCAAATGTTAGATCTCGAAATAAATCTGTATTAAAATTTGTTGCACTCATCTAAAAAATATATATATACAGAAAAAATATATTGCTTTTCGTTTTGTTGTGTCTTCAAGAAAAAAAGAAAAAAAAAATTTTTTTTATATATATACAATGAAGTAAAAATGAATAAAATAAAATCAAAAAAAAAATTTCTTTGTGTATATTTTTGTATATCTGAATAAAATAAGATGAATATGTATGTATGTATGTATCATATATATATATATTAAAGAAATAATATTATGAATAAGAAATTTTAAACTTAGATTTTTCGTTAAACAATTTCATTTTGATCATTTATTTGTAAACGTCGATGATGATTTCGTTGACATCGAAATATAAAAGAATAATGTTCAATTAAATAATAACAACCCGGTATAAAACATAGTAAACCACATATGAATATAATTATTGGAGATATTTGACTATGTGTAAACCAATATGAAATAATAACATAAATTAATAAACTAAGACCAAGTGTAAATAAAAATATAGCAAATAATGTTTCAGATTGTTGAGGTTGTAAACAAGATGTTTTTCGAGATTGATAATGAGTTGATATAGGAGATTCAGATTCATTATTATGTATTGTTGTTGAATTAATAATTGTTGTTGATGGTAATACTTCAATATCATTAGAATCAGATAAGGCACCATAAGAATTTAATGTTGATACATCAGTAGGTGGAACTGATGAACGAGAAGAAAGCATACTTGTAGCCATCCTCTAAAAGTTAGACAAACGTAAATATCTATAGGTTAAAAACACATTCTAATGGCATTAAATTGATATATATATATATATATTCAATGGACGGAACTACATATAAATCAAACTAATTAAAAAAAAAACAAATCATAGTTTTTTGTTGCATGCAAATAATTCAAGCCAACTGATTAATTCAATAATCAATGGTAAAAATGTACAAAAAAATAATAAATATGGTAAACCCGTACGAATATCCATATCCGACATAAAATATGCGCTTAGAACAACACAAGCTGTTGAATGTAATACAATTGCTATGAACAAAAAAAAACAAGATTAATAAATAAAATCATTATTTTTCTTACAAAATATAATAGAATAATGTCGAAATATTGAAAAACCCGCTAGAGATAAAACCATTTCAATAATCACTAAACCAAGTGATGCACCAGTCCAAGCATCCGACCTATTGTTTTTTTTTGTTTAATTATCATAACAAAAGAACAAATCAATAAATTTTATAAATTCTAAATAAACTTACCAAATATATTTATTCGTACTAGTATCATTAACTAGATCTTCCTTTAAAAACAAAAAAAAAAAATATGTACACCAATCAAAATAGAAAGAAGTCATTTAAGGACACTTTTTTTTCTTGATAACTTACACGAAAAGCAAAAATTAGTATTAAAAGAATTAAATGTATAAATAAAGGTACAAAACGACTTGTATATAATTGTTGAAAATTTGGTGAATCTATTAAACGACTACCATGGTGTTGTAACATCTTCGTCTTAGTTTAATCAAAATAACTATAGCAATATTTTTTTTCAGTTTATTTATAAGTACAGAATTATGATTCAATTTGCACTACAATCAATGTATTTATAAAAGGAAAGAAAAAAAAAAAAGAGTACTTCTCTAACGTCCTCTATATCTCTTAATCTTGAAATAAAATATATAAAAAAAAAATAAATAAATTTCTCAATAAATAAAATTTTTAATTAATTTTGATGATTTTTTTTTTTGTGTAACTTAAAAATTATGTTTATCGAGGTTAGAATAAGTTCCAAATGGTACCGACAACAGTATCTCGTTTATTGAAGGGCAAAAAAAAAAGAAAACACTGTTTTTTTTTAAATTTAGATTAATTGATGAATAGTTCAATTCATTCATCAGTATCAACATCATCTGATGTTGTTATTTTACCTTCAATTAATAATCATATTATTTATAATCATACAGAATCAACAAATAAATCTTTTAAACGTAGTCGATCACCAAGTTTAACACGAGATGATAATAATGAAAGTAATCATTCACATACAAATACAGATATATCAATTAAAAAAAGTCGAAAAAAACGAACAACAACGGATATTGATCAAAGTTTAGGGTTTGTTTTTTTTTTGAAAACAAAAAAAAAAAAAAATTGAACTCTTTTTGTCTTAGGCGACATTTATCTGCTGATAAATTACATATCTATAGATGGCCAACAGGTGAACCACATGCTGATTTACATGTATTACAAGAACAAATATGTGATTATTTATCTCTTAAATCATTTAAACGAAAATATCCTGGTATAAGTTTTTTTTGGTAAATCAAAAAACAATTTTTTTTTTATTATTAATAGATATTTATCGACGTATTGTTGATTTACATGAACGAGAATATTTAAAATCTCAAAATGTTGTTACAGAAACACAATGTGATCTTGGTTTAACAGCACTTAAACTTGATGAAGTTTTAGAACTTATGTCAATTGATTATCCAGAAAAATGTCATGTAAGAAAATTCATTCTATTACAATTTATCTTTTATATAGAATTCGAATACAAAAATAATTTCTAATAATGAATAATTTTGCAAATTTCCCTCTTATAACTGATTTTTATGAAAAAAATGACTTTTTTTTAGCAATTTAATCATGTATGGCAACAAAAACGTCGTTCACTTGTTGGAAGTAATAAGAATGGTACTGTATCATCAGTTTTATCTATATCAAATATAAATCAATCATCCATATCAACATCTAATACTCAAACAATTAATTCATTTGATAATCTAGATAAAAATCGAGTTTCTGTATGTGACTTTTTTTTTTTTTTGTATCGTCTATATTAGAATTCGATATTAAATGTTATGTGTTCTTTTTTCTAAAGAAATTTCGACAAGATTTATTACGTTCAACAGTTGATTATAATACACAATTACAACGTGAACGACTTCAAGATCGTAAAGCATGTTTTGATCTTCAAACTATGGTTTGTTTTTTTTTTGATCAATTGAATTTTGTTTTCTTTATATATATGTGTCATATAGCAAATACATTATCCTGCAAATAGACAATTACGTTTACCGTCTTATTTAACAAAAATTGGTTCTTATCCATTAGCACTTTTACCTGGACAATATCAAGATTCTTATAAAAAATATACATCCGATGAATTAAAATATATGCCAATTAATACAGCATTTTATTATTATCCTAAACCACTTTCATTTATTCATACGGAACGATTTTCACAACAAGTAAATTTAGATTTTTTTTTTTTTTCATTATAGTCTTAAATATTTTTTATATAGGTGAAATAAAAGAGAGATTAGATAAGTATGATACATATATATACTAAAAATAAATTTTTATTTTCTTATCAATATTAAATATTCCATTTTTTTTTGTTTTTGAGATTAGATGAAATTTATAAAAAAAAAAAAGAAATATTTAAAAGATTAATAATGAATTTCTAATAGAAATATTTTTTTTTTTTGTATTTAGATTACATCAAGTGATGAAGAAGATGAAAGTTATTCAATAATTCGTTCTAGTCTTACAAATAGTTCAATTCAACAACGTCCATCCACACCACAATCATCTCTTATAGTCAATGGAATTAGTAATAATACTATATTATCATCTCGTCTAAATAAAATATCAACGACAATTTCTAATCATATAAATATATGTCATACATGTAAATTAACACAAGATGAACATGATGAAGAATTAGTTACATGTACTAGTTGTCAACATCATTTTCATCCAACTTGTCTTGAAGTTAATAATGATATATTAACTATAATTAAAACATATTCATGGCAATGTATTGATTGTAAAAGTTGTGCAAAATGTAATAAAACACATGATGAAGTAAGATTTCAAATAAATAAATAAAATAAATAAACGAATATTTTATATAGAATTATTTCATTTTAGGCTAATATGATGTTTTGTGATAGATGTGATCGTGGTTATCATACTTATTGTGTTGGCCTTGAAACTATTCCAGATGGTTCATGGCAATGTTCAGTGTGTGATCCACCTATACCAACACCTACTCCTCCACCACACTCACCCATATTAACTATCAAAGGAAAACGTGGTCGACCTTCAAGTAGCAGGTAAAGATTTTTCCAATATTGTAACATCAGTGTTTTATCCAGGATTTTTTCTCCGGAGGGGCGAAAAATTATTTTCCGGGGGGAAGCCATGTATTCGTAGCACGATTATCACAAGTCTCGGAAGGGCGAACTCGATTTTCGGGGGCGCGTCGGGCACCCCTCTGGATAAAACACTGTGTAACATACATTTTGTTTCTAAAAGAAAAAGATATAATGAATGTAAAGTTTTAGTCGAGCTTTTACAATTCTCCTACTCGTAACAAATGATAAAAACAGACGCTAGTCACTTTTCTGGATCGAAAGGAAAATAACTTCAGGAGATTTTCTTGTTGACCAATCAAGTATCTTGATGTTTCTAAGTTTTCTCTTTCAAATGGCGAAAGTCGCAACTCTTTCCATTCTTGAGCTATTTCCAAAAATATCCACGTCCATGATATTCTTAGGACAGCACAGTGGGCAACTTTCATGAAGCAGGCGGACATGTAACTATTGTGCTCTGAAACGGGTTGCCACTACTCAGAAATGTTTGTATATTACTTAGAAAATCGAATTTACGAAAACAAAGCATTTTTTGAAAAAAAAATTTCGGGGTGAAACACCTGAGGGGAACCCTTGCCCAGATTTACGAAAAAATTTTTTTGGTAGAAAATGTCTTGTGTCATACATCATCCGATGCAGTTTTGCTCGCTGATTCCGAATATCATACTCATTTTGCGGTACAATGCTATCGGAATCGAGAAAATAGGAATTCAGGAGCAGAAGCCTGGATTTCTGGAAAACTTCTAGCACAGCCTTGGTTCATTGGCGCGAGATGGCGCTAAGTCCAACAATATATCACATATAGAAAAATAATCGGTAAAAATTTCAGATCAATTGGACTTAATCTGTTTGTAGGGTTAACAAAATACGTGATGACCAATTTTCGGAGTGATATCCAGCAAAAGACCCAAATTTTTTTTTCGAAAAATACTTATTGTTATATATGATCCGATGCAACTCGATAAGCTGATTCCGAATATCACTTTGGTTTTGTACCACAACTCTGCTATAATTGGGAAAAGAGAGATTTAGTGGCAAAAACCTGGATTTTTGGAAGACCTCTAGCACAGCCCGTATTCGTTGGCACGAGGTTGCGCTATGTCCAACGATAGATCACATGTAGAAGAATAATTGGTAAAAGTTCGAGGTCAATCGGACTTAAACTCTTTGTAGGGTTTGTAAAATACGGAATGACCAATTTTCGGACCTACTTTTAGCACGATAATCCAGTTTTTTCTTGTTCAATTTGAGTCCAATCAAAATCATTTTTTTATCACAATGAACTCGATAGAGTAATCATTCGTTTTGGATAGTTTTTCTTTTTAAATATTTCCGTTAAGCTGGTCGATGAATTAACTTTGTGTAGAGATAGCGATTTATGAGCAATTTTATAAAAATGAAGTTTTCCTGAGTTCTCCTTAATTTCTGGAAGTTTTATTTTAAGGCAAGATAGACTAATCTTAGATGTATTTATTCTAATATTTAAACTTTGGAAAAGAATACTTTCGTTCATGTCCGCCTGGTTGCCCACTGTGGACAGGCGAAAGTGTAATGCAGTCAATGAACGAGCGTTTCTGAATTCTACAAATCAATCTTTACTAAAAAAAATGTTTTTGTTTTTAGTCGTTTATCTCCTCAACAATCAACGAATTCTTCTAAAATTGAAAGTCCTACTCCTACACGTGTTTCATCACGTCGTAGTCGTAAAATAATATCAACACCATTATCACCATCAACAAATATAAATCAGTCATCAAATTCATCTTCGAATGATTTATCTACAATGAACAGTTCTTCTATGAATCTCATAATTTCACGACATCAACAACAATGGACTCCGACATCAACAATAACTACAGAAATAAAAAGTAAAACTTAATTAATGATCTAAAACAAAAATGAAATCATGCATGTGCACTTTTGTTTTTGTATATTTTTTTTTTATGCGACCTAGATTAGGTAGCTGGATATTCCATGTTTATTTGTTTGTTTTTCTTTTCTAAGTGAATAATAGAGAGAGAGAGAAAGAGAAAGATATGATGTATGAAACAAAAAAAAAAAATCTATTCTTTTTTCTTATCTTTTTGTTTTTCATTTCTTTGCTCTTTTTTTTTTGTTCATTTATCAAACATACAAACTACTATACATATATAAATATATTAATAAAAGAAAAAGATTTTTTTTGTTTTTGTTAAAAAATAAATAAAATAAATAATGAATATGTGTTACTTTAGAATGTCATTAAAAGAAGTCCGTCCAGTAATTGATTGTTTTTGTCAGATTTTATCTTTGTATGGATTTTCGATGATTACATCGGAAACTTTTCGTTTGGCTAAATATGAT